AGTCAGGTGACAGCAATGACTTGAAACAGAGGCAAAAGAAGGATCAGCAGTGGGGATGGCAAAGTTCATACTATCTGGCTGATGGAAAGATGTGTGCAGAGTGCTTCAGTTCAGCAATGGGAAAAGGACTTATCTTAGGCTTCTTTCAGAACAGCCCCAGAATTGTTTTATTATTTTATTATTATGGTTGTTTTACTTTTTATTATGATTAATGTTTTTTCCACAAACAAAACACATACACACACACATGATACTGTAATAATTATTAATAATACATTTGTACAACATTGTCCCAGTTGCCCCAGCACACCCCAGTCTCACTGTGGCAGTGAATCCTGGAAGCCACAGATCCATTCTGTGAAGCAGAAATGGAGGGTGTTCCTCTGGCTAATGTCAACAGGGGGACTGGAGAGCCTGTTTGTTCTTACCAGTAGGGTTCCCAAAGAAACCCAATTAGTGAGGGGCAGGTGGCAACACCTGTGTGGCTTATCTGAGCCAGAAGTAGACTGACTAGTTCTTGGATTTATTTATTTATTTTATATTTATAAATCAAATGTATATGCCGCCCATCTCACTATATGAGTGACTCTAGGTGGCTCATAAATAAATCCATATGAATCTTTATTTTAGGATAAGAGGTGAATGCTGGTTTTAAAAAGATTGAAGAAAAGCCAACTGTTTCTTATTACGGCTTTTTGTTCACAGCCACAGCATATTCTGCTGTAAAAAGTCCTTGGCACTTAGTCTGGATGATTAACCTGGGCTAATTCTGAGATTAGGTTCACAAAGCACCCTAACCTAAAACCAAACAACCCACAGGATGGTAAAGTACAAGGTGCAAATCCCATCACAAAATGAAATGAGTAGGGCAAAGGCACTTGAGATCTGCATTTAAAGGAAAAATGGAAATAATTCATAACATTTTGCCAACAAAGAAAGTCACTGTTTATTCAAGATACAGATAAACATGCATTTATCTTAATCCTTTTAAGCTTTTAACCTCCTTCAGAGCAAATTCCAGTCACCAAAAGTTTCTAACCCTTAAGAGGCAAATATAACCTCCATTCTTAATTATGGATTTTTACATAATGTCTCAGAGACCATATGCACTTTCACAAGTCCAGACACAACTCCTAGCTAATTTGCAAACAGAGAAGAGCTTTCCACCTGTTTACATAAGTATAGCCAGATCAGTAATAGACACAATCCATCTTTCAGGAAACCTTAAATAAATCCTAATAGCAGATTAGCAGAGAACTTCTATTTCCTCTGGAGACTTCATTAAGCAGAAGCTTTCAGAGTTCTTTCCCAGCTGCTGGGAAGCCATTTAAAGATGGTGTTTTAAGAGCAAAGAATAAGAATGCTGGTGCTGCTAAATTTTTTATATTTGCTCTTCTAAGAGTACAAAAGCATCTGGCTTACTCTTTAAAGAAGCTCTCAACTCATCAGGCCCAGGCCTCTTCAAAATGTACAAATACAGGACCATATATAATGACATGCTATATTATGCAGATTGAGTTATTTTTGTGAATATCTCTACATGAAAAATCAAATGGCTGATTGACCATACAGTGGCCAGTAAAAAAATAGACAACTCTTTCCCACTTCATAGTGGACTAGAGAAAGATTATTATATTGTGTGAACTTAGCCAGTTGTGGCTTCTACACCATAGTGATGGTACACAAATCATGGTTTAACATAATAGGTGAACTCTATCGCTCTAGATAATCATGGTCTAATGCAATGTGTATGTCCCTGCAGTAAATTACAGTTAACAAAATCACAGCTTATGCTTATAATATTAGCTTTTTTTAAAAAATGCAGAAACAACGGTAGAATTAAACTGGAAGTTTAAGCATTGCAACTTCTATCATCTTTTGTTTTTAATAAAGTTAAGATCCTATTACTCATATTTTTAAAGAAAAGCAATGACAATCTTTAACCCCCAAACTAGGAAACCAAAATATCACTAGCTTAAGCAATTTATTTTATAAATCTCACTACTTCTAGAGATAGCACATGAGTTGAAAACATTATCGATTTTGGACACTGAAACAGCATTAGAATTTTTTGGTCTTTCATCTTATAGGGAGTCTATACTTCACTCTTGGTCCAATTACTATGGAATATCACTGATACTGGCAAATATACCAAAAGAAATTCCATAAGAAATAGACATAGAACACATTTTTTCTTTGAGCAAGTGGTCATTTTCATGAAAATGTTTCTATGATGAAAAAGAATGCAATACTATATGTGAACTCAGTTCAACGAAGATCATCTCTAAAATATGCTAAGTAATCTTGTCACTGTTACAGCCTTTTATAGCTAACCATTTTTACTTGGGAGCAACTGTTTGATTTCCAACTATGTGCATATGTCCAAATGGCCATATTGTAAAAAGCAAAACACAAAAAGTCAATGTATCTTATTGAAATCAAGGTGAAAATTAAAACAAAACCAAAAATAAACCAGTTGCAGTCCTCTAACTGATGACTCATGAGAGTTCACAGCATTAAATAAAGATCCAGATCATAAATTCCACATAATTTTTTTGTTCATCACTCAAGGAGAAAAAAATAAAATAAAAGCAATATATCACAAGGGTTGTAAGACCTAAAATTGTATAGAATTATAATTGAAAATCATATACAAAAGTTATACCTGTTACTCTACACCAGGAATGCTGGTGTCTCCAGACATGTTGAACTATAATTCTCATAATCCTTGCCCACAGGCCACAGTGGCCAGAACTTATGGGAATTAAAACACATGTAAAAAATAAAAGTGGGGCTTCAAAAGTTGTGGTCTTTTTTGACACCCCCCCCTTTGGACACCCCCTTGAATAAACAAGCAGTCTATTTTAACAACTTCACCCCTTGGAATAACAACTGAAAAAATCAGTGGTGAATTTTAATTTTTTTTCAAAGAAAACTCCTCACCTTCCTCCTAAAAGATCATTTCAAATTCTGTAAGAGAACTTGAACTGCCTAAAAGAACATTACAAGTATCCCCATACATTCTGGATTGTGGCCTTTATCTGTTCTTTCCATTTTCAAGAATTAGAGCTGGAATATATGAGAAAGAATTGAACTTTACCCTATCAAATGTTAGCCCGATTTTCCACTTTAAAAAGGAGACAATGAAAAATCAAGCCAATATAAGAATTATTAAATTTAAAAAAGCCTTTTCTGTGAAATTGCCTTGTCTCAATCATAAAAGGATTTGGTTAACACTGCTTTCTAACTGTAAGACCCAGATTTCCTACTATGTATTTTTGTCCATATAAATCTATTAAAGAGGAAAAGGCAGAAAAGCCACACAATGCTTTTCAACGGGGAGCAATCGGACTGTCTGGAAAGTTCCATGCCACTCCATTTCCATTCCCCAATCTCCCACAAAAACAGCTGGAAGCTGGCCTGCAGTCATCTTCTTTTTGACCTTTCCTTTCCTTGACTGATAAAAAGGTTGCCTTGTTCAAGTCATGGTACGCTCCTGCTGACTTCAAAAACATGTCTCATACAGTTTTCTTCGCAAAAATACAGAAATTGTTTCCCAGTGCCTTCTTTCAGAGTGCTTTTCTTAAAACTTCCCCAGTCTATCTTACAGCTGTAATGGATGGCATGAGCGGGGAAGATTCTGGAATGGAACTTCAAGGTTGTCAGGAGGAGGGAGAGACATTCCAGGGCAAGCGCCTTCTCAGCCTGCAGGAAGAGTGTGGGAAGACGAAGAGTATGAGGCTGGCCCCTCCCTAGAGTCTCACGGGTTATAGCCACTAGTTGCTTTAGCGTAGGTTGAGTCTGGCGAGATTCTATTAGGTACAAGCTAATAAAGGAACTGAACTGTACTGGATTGTCTCGTTGTTGTTCTTGGGCTGAACCTGACATCAATCTTGCCAGCCTCAACCTATGCTAAAGCAACTAGTGGCTATAACCCGTGAGCCTCTAGAGAGGGGCCAGCCTCATCCTCTTCGTCTTCCCACACTCTTGCTGTGGGCTGAGGAGGTGCTTGCCCTGGAATGTCTCTCCCCCCTTCTGAGAACCTTGAAGTTCCATTCCAGAATCTTCTCCACTCATGCCATCCATTACAACAGCCCTGGGATTTAGTGGCAGTTTCCCATCCATGTACTAAGTCCAACCCTGTTTAGCTTTGCTAGATTGGTTTGGTACTCCTAACTGCCTAGAAGACCAAACCAACCAACAGGAGAGTTCAGGCCTGTTGCCAAATCACTGTGGATCTTGGGATAAGAAAAATGTCCCACCACGCAAAAAGGAGATAAAATAAATTTATAGCCCCCTCACCATCCATGTTGTCTAATTTCTTTAAACCAAACCAAACCACACCGAATCAAACCTGCGCCATGAAACAAACTGGAAATAAGTGAGCATTGCTGACAGCTTCACAACTTAAATACAGAATGGAATCTTTCCAAATCTACAACTTATGTAGCTGTGTACTTTTAATTGCCTAGGTTTGAAAAGTAGAAACCCCTCTAGTAAAGTAACATACATAGAGAACCTATGTTCATTTCTTAATCTTTGCTAGCTCACCACTTTAGTATATTACTCCATGTGAATGAATAGACATTGGCTACTTTTGTAACTTCCACTCTTCTAACAAAACTGATCATTTTCAGTTCTACTCCCAGGATTCACAGGTAACAAGCTTGGGCTGGGTCCATTCCTTGAATTAAGCCAAAATGTGGTTGTTCAAATAACCATGCTTAAATGAGTCACCGAGAGTCGGCGCAAATGAATTTAATATATTATTGTTGTTACTATTGTTATTATTATGTAAAGTATAAAGCACATGGACAGTGATTCAAATGCAGCTACCATATCTGAGCTGGAATGAGATACAGAAAACACTCTTTGCTGCCATCTAAGGATTGTCTGGATTTTTGCACCCCAGATGTGGTAGCAAACTTGATAGCTACAGTATAAGACAGCGTTCATGCAATACTTTCCTGGAGAGCTTTCCTCTTTCAGAAAAGACTTACTTCTGGTTTCAGAATTTTTCTTTAGCCCTGTTTCTTCAATGTCCTGTTACAACCTGGGCTGGATTCCATGAAGTCCAAACACAGCTGTGATTTCAATGAAAAGAGAAGTAGGCAGTTATTCAACTATTGAGGCCATGCTTAATAAATGACTAAAAATGCAGAACATACATCCGATCCAGGCCAATAATATTCTGGGCTCACGCCAGAAAAAGACAAATACCTGCTCACTTTGGAAGGATAATATTCATTTTAATCTGCTTTAAATACATTTGTCACAAAACAGCAACCCCAAATGTTTAAGTCCTGCTTGTTTGGGAGGAAAAAACCATACACAATGTGTAATTTGTCAGAAATACCAAGAGACACACTGGAGCCTCATCAATTATAATGTAAGGTACCATTAGCATGCTAGTTTTTACCTTTCAATACAATGAAAAAAGAAAGCAAAAGAAAACAAAGCAACATGGATGTTCAGAGGACACACCTGACCAGACAAATGACAATTTCTAGAGACAACTGAACGAGTAGGACTTTTCAGTTAAGCTTCGTTATAAAAGTTGTTCTCTGAATCTAGTTCCAAGCAGTTGGACTACAATTCCTGGCCTGGGGACTGTAACCAGGCTGAGGGGGTTGTAACCAAAATGCAAAATGATAAGAACCAGGACTCTTTGTCAAAGCTGATCTTATTCCTTTTTTTGATCACTCCCTAGAAAACAAAGAAAAAAGATATTTGCCCATGGTACTGGACTATGACATGGCTGAAGGCTATTCTAAGATATACTGCTTCCTGGATCAAAAGCTCTAAAGAGTTTTGCATCAGGGAAAACACACACCCTGACGTGACGTATGCACCTAAAAAAAAAGAGGAAGTCAGAAAAGCCAAGGAAGTAGTACTTTAGACTCACTGGGCTTTTAATGCACTTAGCTTCACTCAATTACTACAAGTGCTCAGATATTCCAAATTAGAGTTCTTAAGGGTACTCCAGCAGGAAAAATGCTCTCAGTGCTTATTTTCTTTTATTTCTGGGTAACTTTCAGGAAATTTTCTCATTATGGCATTCCCCCCACATACTAAGGATTCACAATGGACAGACAGTCTCTCCCATCTCTGGTCAGAACGATGTGTATCAAACAGATCCTTTGGGAACTCTAGATCTTCAACTCAGATGTCAGTAAACTGGCAAATCACCACAATTAAAGAACAGTGTGAAGTGCTAAGCTTGCTTTTTAACTTAAGAACAACTTTTTGGTACAGCTCTTTGATAAGTTCATTTTTATTTCTCCTATCATCCAACATCTTATTTCTTCCCAAATGAAGTTCATTCATTAGAGCTGGATTTCCAAAGAAACCCTTCTCTACAGATTCTCTACAATTCTCTGCTGTAGCCCCCGGTCTTTGGAATATCTTGCCCCCGGAGGTGAGATTGGCCCCCTCACTCCTGGCCTTCCAGAGGGATTTGAAGACCTGGCTCTGCCATCTGGCCTGGGGTGGGAAGGGAAGACATCAGGTGTGGGGTTGGCTAGCTCCTTAGAGCCCTGACGTTTGCTGCTCTGTACCATCGGCCTCCTGGACTCTTTCTTTTTTAGTAATTGTTTTATATAGTTTTTAGGTTTTATGTACAGTGGAACCTTGGGTTATGAATTTAATTCATTCCGTGACTCTGGTCGCACCCCGAATTGGTTGCAACCCAAAGGAAATTTCCCCATAAGGTTCAATGTAATTATCGTTAATTCGTTCTGGCGTGGAGGACAGGGAGGCGGCTATTGCTTGGAGGGAGAGGCCCCCTCCCTACGACCACGTGTCAGGGGCGGAAAAATGGCCGCAGACCGTGTCACGGAAGGGAAAATGGCCGCGTATCCTGCTCATACCCCAAGGCGGAGTTCGCAAACCGAGGTAAATTTTTGCGGCCGGAGCTGGTCGTAAGCCGCACAAATCG